TTTCATGATGGAAATATATGTTAAAATTTTTTAATTTTTATCATGGCTTACTGTAAATTGGCATATTGATATAAATTATAAATTATTTAATAATTACATTAAATCTTTTATACGACAACCTACAATAAGTCTGATACGAATTTTGATTTGGCCACATTATTTATTATTCGAGTTTTTTGAGAGCCTTTATAACCCGTCATTCAACGATAAGTCCAGCATCTAATATCATTTTATCGATGTTTCCTATGCATTGAGCAATTCAATTATTAATCGATGGAAAAGAATTATTAATTTAACAATTTGCTATTAATAATTAATAATTAGAAAGTCCCATCGTTATGAAAAGTGAAATGAAAAATTTTATTGTGTATTTTTTTTTTTTATTAATTTATCAGCTTTTTTGTTTTATTTTGTTTTTGTCATAATCTGAGCTGAGACCGGACAATTATAAGAATCATTTGGTCCTTGATTCATTACTGTCAGGCACTGATCTTTTAGAAGACTGATCTGTCCTTATTCAAGGTTTATCTGACGTTGGAGCAGGATTCATCTGAATAATGACATGAATAAAATGCTTAAATATCCAAATCAAATAATAAAAATTTTAAGTTTCACTAAGATATGAATAACCACCCTTCGTTTTCCAATATTAGCTACGTTGACAAATCGACGATTATATAAAATTCTTTTTTTTGCACGACCGGTTTTCTTTTTCTTTTTTTCTTGTTTCTCAACTTTAGGAGTTTGGGATTTAACTTTACCGGCTCGAGCAAGTGAGCCATGGACTTTACCCTAGAGTACATTTTACTTATGACATGGCCGATTTTTATAATGGTTTTAATATCAGGAAGAAAGCCATTCTTACCATTATGTTAACTTAGTATTGGAGTAAAGGAGGAGGAATCTAATAATCTTAAGCCCGATTTTTTTTTAAGTCATCCTATGCCGATCCAAGCATGATTATTGACCAATCGAAATCAGTCATCTATAACGATAACGGAATTGCGCGGCAGCCGCAGCATATATTTTATTTCGTATATAACACGAACGATCAAAGTTATCTAATCGTATCTTTTTTTATTTGAAATAGTTTTCTTCCTAAAGAACTTGCTATATTGTATATGTTTTTGCACTATGATATTTACTAATATACGGTATATATATATATATTTTTTTTTTTAAGAAAAGGAAGACGCGAGAAATTATCGTTATGACATCGATATAACATTTTTTTATAATGTATGACCGAGAATTTTTGTAATCGTGAGGTAATTTTAGTTATAAGAAGAACATTATGCTGAAGCAAAATAAAAAAAAATTTCAACTTAGAAGCAATGAGTATGTATTATCAACAGATTTCGTTCGACAATTAATGATTTATACTAATTGTCCGAGGACTCTTCTGTTTTAATACACAGGTAAAATGGTATCTAATAGGACATCCCTATTGCTGCCATGCCAGATTTTGGCGCAAAAAGAAGTCAATAAGGTATCAATAGGTATCAATCAGAATAATATGGTTCTGATTGATGTTTTTTGATCTCTTTTTGCAGCAATAAGGATGTCTATTGGTAAATTTGTCAGCAATAAGGATTTCTATTGGTAAATTTGTTAGCAATAAGGGTATCTGGCAGCAATAAGGATGTCTATTGGTATTCTATTAGATACAGGGATGGTAAATGATCTAAAATAACCCAAATAACTAGTTACTATATTTGGTTATTTCAAAATATAAATACTTTAAAAGAACATTTAATATATGGGTGTCAGTAGAACCAAGCAATTTGTTTTTAAGTAAATTTTTTAAAACTTTGAACTAAAATATTTTAACAACAATTAAACTAAATGATAAAAATTTTTTTATTTTAATTCTATATAATTATAGAATTAAAATAAAAAAAATTATCAAGTTTGGTTTAATAGTTGTTAAGATATTTTAATTTAAAATTTTAAAAAAACATATTAAAAACAAAATTGTTTGATTTCTACTAGCACTTTTATATAGTAGCTTATATTATAATATCTTTTAATTAATTAGAATTGATTACTAAATAAAATTAAATTTATAAAAATATAATTAGCTATATATGAGTATTACTAAAAGAAAACCTGAAAATTTAAATATAAGTAATATTTAAATTTTTTTTTTCCTTCAGCAATCCTGTTTACTTTATTATGGGAACAGACTTTCATCCTTACACGGCATAAGAAATTTAAATCTATAAGTGTTCCAACCAAAATGTAAACTTACCTACGGTATATCTCACAGATGCCGTAACATCCACTTGTGATCAGGGCGAATCATTAAACCACTGTATTTTGCTCAGATGTGATCCACTTAGCAACACTTAGCCTCTTCTAAAGATCCGGAACTCACTCCAGACTTATTTTTCTCAGATTTTTCAGCTGGCTGTTGCTGGTCCTGTCAAGATTCCCGCTCTACAATAGAATGCCACCAAACTGATGACACTTTCTCATAGAGAAGGAAAAAAGAAAAAAAGAAATAATGGAAAACGAAAAAAGGATTAAAAAATAAAATTAATACATCAAAGAAAACAGATACTAATACTAAGGAATATAAAAAAAAACTAAACTAAAACCTAAAAGAAATTATCACTAAAAGAAGAAAACCTGCTAACCAGGCAAAAACTTCTAATTATACAGAGTCATGATCTACTATTAACTATTAAGTGTA